GCCAGCCTTGTGCACTGGACCCTGGGCTCCGGCCTCTGGCCTGCGGCTCCAGACCCTGCCAAGTGACCAGACCCGAGGCACACCCCCCTCCGCAGAGCCGCCCCTCACCAAGTGGGACCGGTGAACCGTCAACGGCGTGTGGAAGGGCAGCAGCCGCGCTGGCAGCAAAGCCAGACCCTAGGGTCCAGGGCCGCAGCTGGGCCCTGGGAAGGGGTGTGGACCTGACTCCCCACCTGGCTCAACCAGCCCCACCCCTGCTTAGGACAGAGACCACGGCCCATGGGCACCTGCAGGGCGCCCCGCCCCCGATCCCGGGAAGGGGACGTGGAGTGGCGATGGCCATCTGCGCTCTCCTTCCACCGATGCCCCACAGGAGGGGACGCAAGCCCAGCCGGTTCCAGCTCTGGGCAGAAGGAACGCAGGCCCCACGGGTCCTACCCCTCGCACAGCGCTGGGGCTGGAAGCCAGGAGGTGAGGGGCGGCCCCGGCCCGGCTCCCTCTACCACACAGGCCTCTGGGCTTTGGAGCTTGTCCACTCCCGCAGCCACCCGCACCCCACCCTCGATCTCGCTGGCCTCCCTGCCTGTACCCCCATCATCAGCACCCAGCCTCAGGCCCCCTCCAAGAGGCCTGGCCAGCCCTGCCGGACGGTCCCCTCCTCCGCTGGCCCCCGTGTCCAGAGGATGATGTACACCGCCAGGCGAGCTTGTGCCCCGGCCCCCGCGCGTCACCTCACACCACGAGCTGGTGTTCCCACGGCTGGGAACGCCCCAGCATCGGCTCTGACATTGGCACATGAGATGCATAAACACGATGTTCTAATATTTAATCCCGCGCTTAGCGGCACCCCCGAGACTAGATGAATTCAAGCCCCGGCACATCCAGATCAGCACTTAATCCGCCCTTGAGCGACGTGCGCCCGCGGTGGGACACTCTGCAGGCGGGCCCCCTGGCACCCCAGCCCCAGCAACACCCCACAGGCCCCAGGCAGGCCAAGCCGGCGCACAGCCCCGGGCTGCGGGGCAGGGCCCAGGGAGCCGCCGGTGCCGGCCAGCGTGTCAGCGCAGGCCCCGCTGCGGTGCTGCAGGAATCAAGCACCTCCGGCCCCGACAGCAACAGAACCAGAATGAGGCCCAGGGGGCACCCAGATGCTTAGAAGCACAAAGTGAATTAAGTGGGAGCCGGGAGCCTGGAAATTGGCCCAGAAGAAGCCAAGGATGGAGCCTGGGAAGAGGGAGCGGGCGCTTGCGCCCCGGGGAGCTCAGCCCGCCGCCGGCACAGGCAGAGGGGCCTGGGGGGCTCCCCCACCCGCAGTCCCTGCAGAGAGCCCCGAGCGCCCCCGTGCCACACGCCCATTTGCGCGTTGATGCTCCTACCCGTTAAGCTTCTCCAAAGTTTTGAAGTCCATGAGTCGTTTGCTGCAAATATCCTTAAGTTAAGGGTGACTCACGCCCGGGAGCAAACACCCGGCAAGTTCATTCGAAGGGGCTCAGCCGCGAGCGCCCCCGGCTCAGCCGCCCCCGCCCGCCCTCCCAGCACCCAGCGGGTGTCCCATCAGCCTAGGGCTGCAGGCCAGCTCCACAGAGCACGGGCCTGGCGCCGGGTGCCCACACACCACACTCCTGAAGGACACCGAGGCCCCGGCAGCAAGGCCGAAGCAGCATGGACGCCGTCCCTGGACAGCGAGCAGGCCCCACCGGGCAGGGCTGGGATGACCGTCCACCCCTGCATCCCGGGACGGCACGGACACGCACATGGCCCTCGTGGGAGGCCCTGACTGACAGCGGTGATGTCGCAGGGGCTTCTTGGACACTGCTGTGGGCGCTGGCATGCGACACGTCCATGCGAGGCTCCAGAGGGCATCGCAGTGCCGCCTCCAGCCCCGAAGGCCCGCAGTGGACAAGGCGGCCACGAGGTCACCTGCCCCCACCCCCACAGCTCTCACGAGTGTTGAGAAAAAGCCCAGGAAGCGACTTTCTGCTTTTCTCCTGGGAGACTGTGTGATGCCAGACCGAGAACAGCCCCGCGAGGGGACTGTCCGGGCCGGCGCTTCCCGGGAGCCCCCCACCTGACCTCAGGTGAACTGCCGGCCACCTGCCGCCAGCCTCCACCAACTCCGGCCGCCGCAGTGCAACACCTGCTGAACCCGAGCGGTTCCGGGCCAACCCCCCGGTTCTGGGCCAGCACCACCCACACTCCGCGCAGGCCAAGGCGGGGACAAGTGACCCAGAGGCTGCAAGTCAGCAGGGGGTGACCACTGTCATCACCCGCTCTCACCACCACTGTCGTCATCACCTTCATGGTTATCACCATGACATCACCATCACATCCGTTATCTTTACATCACCATTATCACCATCACCTCGTTATCACTATTACCTCACCACCTTCATTACATCACCACCACCATCACCATTACCTCATCACCACCACCGTCATCATCATTACATCACCACCACCACCACCACCACCATTACATCATCACCACCACCACCATTACATCATCACCACCATCACCATTACATCATCACCATTACATCACCACCATCACCTCATCACCACCACCGTCATCATCATTACATCATCACCACCACCACCACCATTACATCATCACCACCATCATCATTATTACATCATCACCACCATCATCATTACACCATCACCATGACATCATCACCACCATCACCATCATTACATCATCACCACCATCATCATTATTACGTCATCACCATCACCGTTACCATCATCGCCATTTCCATTATCATTGTGTTAGTGGCAGTGAACATGCGCACAGCTGCTGTGCCAGGACCCGGGCACCTGGCGGGCACCAGCTCAACTGCTACAAGGTTGCAAGACGGTGACCTGTCGCCCGCGGAGGGGCAGAGCGCAGCCGTGGCCGGGCTCACACAGCCACGCGAGGCCAGCCAGCACGGAGGGCGGCGGCCCCGAAGCACGCACCGCGGCTCGGGGAGGCTTCCCTTGCTGGGCGGCCCCTGCAGAAGGATCTCTGATGACTCCACAGCTCTTCCCTGTGACGTCAGCCCCGGGGATCTCAGGGGCCCCGAGCCCCGGCCACCTGCCCTTTCCACGCCCAGCAGTGCCTGAGTCTGGGCAAACGAACATTCTCCTTGTAAACGTGTGTCTAGGGAGCCAAAGGAAAACTCTCAGCTCCCCAAACCTCATTCCAAGGACCCCCTGGGGCAGGAGAACCGACTTAGCAGGTTCTGCCCACCACTTCCTACACCCTCATCCCCGTGGGTAGCTTGGTCTCAGCGCCGCCTGCCCGCACTGCTCCCGCGTGGACTCTCGGCGCCGCGGGCTCGGTCAAGCAGGGCGGGCTGGGCCTGACGAGCTGAGCGTCCCCGCCTGCCCGTCCCGGCTGGAGCCGCGGCCCCGGCTGCGCCATCGCGCCCGCCGTGCGGCCTCCCAGAAGTGCCACCTCTCCGCATTCGAAGCAAACACACATATTTTCCCCCTTTTAAATCTGTTTTGCTAAACAAATTAATCTAGCACCAGATTATATTATGAAGAACCATAAATCTTTTCCAAGATAAGCATCTGTCGAGTTGGATTAGCGACACGCAATGTACTGTGAATTAATTTGCTGAGCCTTATAACGCTGGCCGGGGTGCTTAACTTTAGTAATAAATGTAATTTGCAATAAATGGGGAGTCTGTGTCCTCATCCATGTCTCCAGACTGAGTGACATGTGCGGAGCTGACAGTAAACGAACGCAGCCCGGGATTCTCTGCTGACGGTGGCTGCCGGCTTCATGGAGGGAAAACAGCTGGTCCTCCGGCTGCCGGGGCGGCCACAGGAGACGCGTGCGGCTGCCCGCAGCTCGGGGGAGGCGGCGGGGACGCCCCACAGGGCCCCCAGCAGCCCAGGCCCGGCCCCCCGGCCCGGCCCTGCAGCCGCGGCGGAGCTGGGCCTGCACCGACACGCTGCGCTCGGGGAAGGGCGGCTCGTGGTGACAGCCGCGTCCTCCCGCCCGCGTGAGGGAAGAAGTGGGTCACGGAACAAAAGCCGCCCGCCGCGGGGAAGGAGACCCAGGCACGGGCTGGCTGCGGGCGGCGGGAGGCGCGCAGGCCCCGGGCGGGTTCTGAGAGGCCGCGCGGGGCCCCGGCCCGCCCCTGGACCCGGATCCCGCTCCGTGAAGTCAGTGGACGCGGCTGCTTGAGAGGCCTCGTGGCCGGCTCCGGGCCCGTGGCGCCGGCGGGCTGCAGAGGCGGAGGGAGCCGGAGGCGGCTGGGAACGTGGGGTCCCCAACTCTACGCCCCTCGGCCCAGCCGGGCACACACCGGAGCTACCGGGGCGAGGGCAGCTGGGCGATCAAGAGACACTGTTTTTGGAGCAACTGGAAGATGAGGTCAAAACCAAAAAGCAAAACAAACTACGCAGAGGAGATTTCAGAGCTGAGGACGGTGCCAGAGACAATGCAGGGACTGGCGGGCAGCAGGTGGGGGGGGGCGATACTCCCGCTCCATCTCCAAACACCTGCACCCCGTCTCGGGGAAAGACGGCCTGGGCAGTCGGGGTGTCTGCAAAGACCCAGAGGACCTCCCCACCCCTGGCTTCAGTTTATCCTGCAGTTGCCAGTCCTGAGCCACCGAGGCCAGCCGCCCGCCCGCGCAGGGCCCCGCCGTGAAGTGCCTGAAGGCCCCACGTGGCCCGACGCCAGCAGGGGAGGCCCCGGCGAGGCCCAGGAGACAACTTGGTGCTGGAGGAGGGGGCTACCCCTTCCGCTGGGGCCTGGCCACCCCTCTCGGTGGGCACAGCACCCCCAACTAAGGCCGCTGTCTCCTCTCACCAGCGCCAAGGCCCGGCTCCCCCTTCTCAAGCACAGCCTGTCTTCGGGGGACACACACCTCGTCTCTCCCAGAGGCCCCTCATCCAACCCCTTCTGTCTCCATCTCTGCGTTGGGACGCAGACCCACGGCGCATCCCCGGACACAGCTCCACACCCCCAAGCCAACCCAGCCAGAAAAGGGGCAGCTTACCTGAGGTCTCCCCCAGAATCCGCGGGGGCTTGACGCCACTGTCTTTGCTGGGGCTGATGGAAGGCTCCGTTGTGCTGACCCCAAACGGGAACCTGCTCCCGGGGCCCAGGGGCTCGGTGCCCCCCTTAGTCTGCAACGTCAGGGAGGTGGCCGTGGTGGCGGCGGTGGTGGTGGCCACCGTGGACTTGCGCGTTTGGAAGATGGAGACCGTGGTGGGGCCGAACACGCCTGGAAACGTGTTGGACTCGGGGGCTCCCTCCTCCCCCGTGGGCCCCCAGGCGATGAACTCGGTCTCGGTGGTGGACCTGCCGCCCTGGAGGTCAAAGTTGAAGGCAGCCCCCTGCACGTGCCTCCGGCTCCTCCTCAGGAGGGCCTGCGGGTCCGTGGGGGCCCCGGCGCCGGGTGCGGAGGTCGAGGAGGACGAGGAGCCCAGGGCCGGGCTGGATTTGGCAGCAGCTGGGGGCTTGCTGAGCCCCCCTTTGGGGACCAGGGCGACCACCTGGTCCCGGGGTCTGTGTGCCCGCCGGGCCCGGGGGGCTGGCATCTGTCCATGGCTGCGCTCGGCGCGGGGCGGCCGGGGGCTCCACACCGGGGTGGGGACCCGCGCCGGCTGTCCACTTTTCAGACTCCACAAGCGGGGTGGCCGGCTGGGCCGCGGCAGGAGGCGGAGCTCAGGGCCGGGCCCCAGGGACTCACAGGATGGCAGGTCCAGGGCGAGCTGAAACATGGCTATCAGTATCCAAGCGTGGCTTCCGAGGGCGCAGCCCGGCCAGCGGATGGACATGGAACTGCGGGAACAGAGAGACAGTGGTCAGCGGCTGGCCCCCCACCGAGAAAGCACACACGCACCCCGTCACGGGCGCCGAGCCCGCCTGCCCCCAGTGTCCTCCAAGGGGTCGCGGGACACTGGCCACTGCTGGGGAGGGAAACCAAGTCTCAGAAGCCCCCACCGTCATTTACAAAGGGCCCCCAAGGCCGGCCATTCCCGCAGGGGGCGCCAGGAGGACACGGGGTAGGGAATGGCAGAGCCAGGACACGGAGGGGCCCCAGGCCCAGGCCAGGGCCGGTGCCCACCACACACATGACCTGACCAGAGGCGGGTGACCAGGCGAGCTGACCGCGCCTCCTGGGGCTCCCACTCACCGTGGGGCTTAGCTGCCCAGGCAATGTGGGGCACAGAGGGGCCTGCTGGGTCCTGGTGCCCAGCACCCGCAGGCCACCTTCCTCCCCTCTCTGTGCTGGACACGTGCCCTTCACGGAGGCGTGGACCCCAGAAAGCGCGTGTGCCGGCCGCCTCTGGCTCCCACTCGGGGAGTGCTGCCCAGGACGCGCTGGGGACGCTGCCCCTCGCCCAGGGCCTCCTTGGGGGCCATTCCCGCCTCCCCGTGGACCTTTGTGAGGGGCCTCTGAAGTGCTGTCTCCTCCTCCTCACCCGCAGCAGGTGCGGGGGGACACCCTGCCTGGCTGGCAAGGGAGTGCGGGCACAGAGCTGCCAGCCTGCGAGGCTGCTCAAAACTGGGCCCAGAGAAACGTCTGCAGCTCCCGCACCAACACCGGGCGCCTCTGAGGAATAAATAGTGAGCGTGGGTGACTGCGCAGTCGGGCGTCTCCGCGGCGTGTGCCTGCGTGTCCGTGCGTGTGTGCCAGGGAGTGTGCAGGGAGGGTGAGAGTTGAGGCAGTGCCAGTGCGGGCGCAGTGGGTCGTGTCAGTGCGTGTGAGCGGTGTGTGTGACTGCTGGTGTGGGCGTGTGCCTGTGTGTGCTTGTGTGTGCCCTGCACCTGTGCACGTGAGCCCATGTCTGCACACATGCATGCGTACTTGTGTGTACGAGCGTGACTGTGTGCCATGCCTTGTGTGCCTGTATGCATGCGACTGTGTGCACTTGTGCATGTGTGCCCATGTGTTCTTGTGTGTACATGTACTTGTGTGTGCCCTGCACGTGTGCACATGTCTGCATGTGTGTGGTTATGTACATGTGCTTGTGCGCCCGTGTGCTGTGTGTGCCCATGTGTTGTGTGTACCCTGTGTCTGCGTGTGTGTGCCCGTGTGTGCGGCAAGGTGAGCGTCTCTGTGCGTCTGCCCGCACAGGTGTGGTGAGAGCGAGTGCGTCCTCCCTCCGCCTCCTGCTCCACCCGGAGCCCCACGTGCGGGCCGCCCTTCCCGCGGATGCAGAGATGGACCCAGGAGCTGGAAGCAAAGCGGCCCGTGCTAACGAGCGCTAATTACCAACAAGGACTCCTCCCCAAACAATGAGGCCCCGGCTTTTTAATCAGAACGAAAGTGCTTTGCTGCAGAATCAGGAGCTGCTGGTTCTGCTGATGCCCGCGCACTTTCTGCCCGCGTGCAGATCTGCGTAGCCAGCCGGGCGCGGGGGCCAGGCCCGCGCCCCGTGCAGAATGTGGGTCAGCACCGGCTCCCCTCCCCCGCCCGAGGGCTCCTCTGGGCCGCAGACGGCTCAGACAGTCGGACGGCTGAGCGCATCGCCTGGGCCAGCCGCGTGCTGGACAGGAGTCTGCCCCCAGGGAGCCAGTGCTCCCGAGCAGGTGCATCTGAGGGCCGAAGGCCCACCAGGCCCCGCAGCCCCGCAGGCCCCGCAGGCCGGCTGAACAAAGAGCAGCCACCAGCAGCGCCTGGCAGCAGCACTTGGAGAAACATTTCCCCAGGAAATTAAAACCGCAGCACCTAAGCCTGGGCCTGCCCGCCTGCCCCAGCATAACTTCACACACAGGATATTTCTGTCATTTTTCACCAATCATGAGCTGTAATTGGTTACCATAGAAACCCTCTCATCTCCACACCACCCAGCTGTTATGCAGAAAAACCAACCGATGGCAAATGCCGGGAGAGCTTGATTTGTTTCCCTCTTCAGGTCCGGCTCCTTCCTCTCAGACTGACGGGTCCGCTCGAGCGGGGCCCGTGAGAGCGCGAGGGGGGGGCTCGAGTCAGGACGGAGGCTGCACCCACCCCAGCAGCCCGGCGCGCGGGGGCGGGGGCAGGCGGGAGCCGCCCCCACTGAGGCCCCGTCCCCTGCAGGCCCGGGCCTCCCGCACCGTCCAAGGGGCCACATAGACCCCCACGGCCCCCCACGCCCTGCCCTCTGACCCTGCTCAGCACAGGCTGGGCCCCAGCTCCACCCTCACGAGCCAGAGGCCCCTGGTCCACTCCCAGGCCCGTCACCCAGGAAGGCAGGCGGCTCTCAGCCCTGCCCCATGCTGACCGGGGCCGCCACATGCCCACGGGGGGGGTCTGAGAGCCGGGCAGACCGCTCACCCCGAGGCCAGCTGCCCCCAAACTCCAGGGACCCTCAGGCCCCTGGATGCGGAACATGGCTCTGGAGGCCCCGAGGGAGGGCAGGCGCCACGCCGGATGTGAACAGCGATCGGAGCAGCACACAGGGGCGGCGTGGGCTGAAGGGCGACCCGGGCGTGCCCAGCTGGGCCCTGGACCGTCGGTCATCAGAAGGCCGAGCTGATGCCCACCGCGGGCCGAGCGTGGAAAGGCCGCGCCAAGCACGAGCCCTGGGGAGCCCCACCCGAGTCCACGGGCTGAAGAGCCCAGAACCCGCAGGCCGAGAGGAGAGGGTTGTGGGGCGGCCGCGGGGGCCGGCGGGGTGTCTCGCGGTGACGAAGTCCCGGAATAGAGGCGGCGGATACGGCAGACACTGAAGGGCGCTCCCGGACAGGCAGCTTCCAGGCCTGCGGGCAACGCCCCAGGAGGGGTGTGTGGCGTTACCCCCAAACAGGCCCGAGGCAGGAGGAGCAGAGCGAGGGCCGGCCCCGGTAGCTGCACCCCCTGCAGCCTGGCCGAACTCCCGTGACCCCGCTGGGAGCGGCCACCGGCTCAGCACCGACCACGTCCACGCCCCGCGCAGGGCAGGCCCCACGGCCCCACGAGGACAGGCGCCCGACGCCCCCACTGCTGCCTGACCGGGAGCCTCACTTTACTTCCTAGTCTGCAGCGTTCTGCCTTCTCTCCCCTCTTAAATTTTTATTGAAATCCTTTTTTCCCCAAGAACAGTTTAATAAGATTCAGCAAATTGAGATTCAATTCGCTACCTTCTGTATATTTTCCTGCAGAAGAAAATCACTGTCAATTAAGGGAGACAAAGGCAGCCCTTCCACTTAGGGCGACACCTCCCGAGGGGGCTGGCGGGCGGCAGGGCTGCGCCCACGTGTCAGCACCTGAGCCCTGGGCCGGGCCGGGCTGGCGCGGGAGCCCAGAGGAACCTGGTCCATGGGATGCCCACGGGGCCCGACGGCGGCTGCAGCCCCGCCCCGCCCACAGCCCCATGGCCCGCTCGCAGGCGGTGACGTGGCCGAGCCCCCACCCCAGGCACTGAGCTCTGCACAGCTCAGGGCACAGGTCCAGGGGCCCCTGATGGAGCCGCTCTGAGCGAGGCTGGGCTGCTTTCGCCCCGCAAACCCGTTTGTCCATCATTCACGTGGCCTCCAAGGTCCCCCCCCCCACCTTCCAAGAAGCTGCCGGTGCTGGGGCCGAGGACGAGGTTTCCCTCGGGTTAATACATATTCTTCACACCGTGGGTTGTGATAAAGCCTACGGGAAGGGAGCACCGTTCCCGGCTGTATAGTGACAAGCAGTTAACAGCCACGTGTCCAGAGAGAAGCCTTCAGACTCAGGGTCAACTGATTTCTGAGCAGGGCACCAGGATCACTCAACAGGAAAAAGATATTCAAGAAAGGGAGAAAGGCCGCGGGGAGACGGAACGCCACGCGCCAGAGCAGCGAGCCGATCCCTTCCTCACGCCGGGCGGAGGCTGAGCTCACAGTGATGAAGTGACGTGACGGCCAGACGAGGGCAGGCGCCCAGCCACAGCCTCGCGGGGTGACCGCTTCTGCCTCACGCACGAAGCCTGCTGGCCAGCACTGGAGAAGCCGGGCTCCGCCGGACTGAGATGTCTCGTGCCGCCAAGGACGCCATGAAAACACAGTTCGGAGACTGAGGGAACAAACTCACAAGAGCCTGGCGTCACCCCCGAGGCTGTGCTCTGAGCCGTCTGGCGTGAGTAAAGGCAAGGACACACGTGGGCACCTCGCCAGGCGCGGGCATGTCGGGCTTCAGGAGACCCGGGACGCGGGAGGCTCGGACACAGATGTGCTCTGGTCCCGCCTGGGCCTTCCGAGTCCACCCTGCTCTGGCACCGCCTGGGCCCCAGGAAGGTGGCCGTCCCTGCACCTGGGCCCTGGGGGGCGCGCGGGTCTCCCCGCCAGATGCTTCCAGAGCCCACCCCACTTGTACTGGCTTGTTTGCTTGAACAAACTTGTCATTTTAGAAGAATTTTACAGAAAAACAGCGGGAGTGCAGGGTCCCACGTCCCCGGCGGGCCCGGCCCTGCTCAGGAGGGACCGCGGCTCGCAGGAAGGCGCCATTCGTGTGCGCGGGACAGAAACCGCCAGCACCTCTGGCCACCCGCCTTCCTCGGAGCAGGAGGGTCACTCACAAGGTTCTGGGATTCCCTCCTCTAGCAAAGCAGGTCTGACTCGGGGTGCACCGGAGGCGCTCGGCCTGAGAGGCCCAGCCCGTTTGGAGGGGGGGAGCACCGTGGCATCCCCGGGAGTGTGAGTGGCAGCGACCTGAGCACCCCTGGTGCCCGACGCGCCCCGCGGCAGCAGGACAGCCTGGTTGGAGGACGGGACACGTTGGCCCGGCCCCTGCCTTCCCAGCGGGTCTGGAGCCCAAGCCGAGGGCCAGGCCCCCTCAGGAGCAGAGCGAGCGGCAAGGCCAGCCCCTCTCCTGGAGCCCTGCAGGTGGGAGCTCCGCCCGCACCCCC